ATCTCACTTGAATATTTACTGTACCACCAAGATCTGCACCAGTGTGTTGCGTTGATAGCTGTCTGAGCAGCTGAAATCTCATCTTTTACGGTTTCTGTTGTTGGTGCTACTGCAGCAGCAGGAGCCTCTCCACCTTGCCATTTTGAGTTCCTCGTATCCACGTTACTCCGTGCAGGTGTTCAGGTGTATCCTTCCTTCGCGTTGCTGCCCTCCTCAATGTTTGTTTGGAATTGCAAAAGCATCATTGAACAGCTCGCTTTATCCATCTGTTTTTCTCTCTTTCTAGTAAGTAAAATACTGCAGGACGCGAATTTTCCCTTTTTTTTCCTTGCTTTTTCGCTTGATAATTAAAATCTGTGCGGCATTTTAACGTGCGGCAGTCTTAAATAATATTTTAAGGGTTGTCTGTTCTGTGGATGCGTCAGATTCCTTACACAATGATGAAATTCGCCTGTTTCGAACGTACGCTTGAAGCTTTATATAAATATGTGGTACCAAAACCTCTTGCGCAATGCACGAAGCAGGAGCAGCTGGTGGTTACGTTCGTTGCCGGATACATTGCAGGCATTTTTTGCGCAGTTGTCTCACATCCAGCTGATACAATTGTAAGCAAACTTAACCAGGATTCTGGCTCATCCACTGGCGCAATTGCAAGAAAACTGGGCTTCATTGGTAAGATTCTGATGTTGATTATCAGTGATGACATGTGTTCATTGATCACAGGAGAATCAGGGACGGACTCATGGGTGACAGGAGGCGGGGGAGAGAGAGTGGAGCTCCCCCACCTTAAAATTATGCAAAAGCTAAGAATGGAGTTGTAACATTGCTACCGCTGCGAGGGGAGAGGGATGGGGGCTATGTTGTTGGTACTTTGGTTTTGGTTTGAAGATAACCGGATCGCGTGAGGGTGTTCTTCCAGAATTGCTCGCGACGCAAACAGTAGAATAGATTGACTGTTTTATTGGCTCGTGTAAACTGGCTTACTGAAGGGAATAGTGTCGCTGAATTCAAAATTTTTGGTGCCACGCTGGAAGTAAGACCTGTTGAGATATTCAGATATTCTGTTGAGATATTCATGCTGCAATGTAATGCGTTTTTTAATATCTTGATTAGCATCATTGTGCACTTTCCATGGTTATCATGAACGAAATAGCACTGCCCAGTGGTCAACATTTGGTACTTTTTTTGGATGAAATACGATTCCGCTGCTTTCATCGGTTGTATGATCCTTTAATCGCTAATAAACACAGCAGAGGTTTGCTGGCAGTAGGCGTCGTAAAATTAGCAAAAAAACTATATTTTTTCAGGTCTCTGGAAGGGGCTTTTCCCACGAATTATCATGATTGGAACACTCACCGCACTGCAGTGGTTTATCTATGATTCGGTGAAAGTGTACTTCAGGTTACCTCGCCCACCGCCTCCAGAAATGCCTCTTTCGTTGCGCAAGAAGCTTGAGGCCGTCGGGAAGTTCTAGAACAAATCTTTGTTGCTCAAAAAAATTGCTCTCTTACCATATCTCACTTAACTCTGAATGTTTGTGTATATTCGTACTGTTTTCCATAAATGTGGTTCAGGTGTTTTTGGACACGTTCCATGAGAACATCTGCACTCCAAAAGGTTTTAGGCATTCCTGGTGCAATATTGAAAATTTCTCCTGGATACCCTCCATAAGGCTCGTCGTGTTTTAATATAAATAACGAGCACTGCGTATGATTTGATCCATCCGTTGATATGCAGGACTACCGCAATAATTATCAAAATAGGTAGTCCCCTTTTGTTCCCCTTGTTTTTCTTTTTTTTTTTTGAAAGGGAGGAAGAGGGGAAGGGCGCGGGGTCATCGAATTGATCTTTTTTGCGGGACATACATATGATTATCTCGCAGTATGAGTCTGGATATTGCTGGAGCCGAAATAATCCTTGAAATCCCATACAATTAACTTCTTGGCAGGTTCTGTTCTAGGTGATGCTGTTCTGAGGAAGTCTTGATAGATAAAATGAGGGCTTACTACGCATGCGTGACCGAGCAGTAAGGTGTGCCACCTGCGTGCTGGTGGTATGAAGGTGTGCTGCGATGAAACGACGGTTGATCGAAGTGTTACGGTGTACCAACGGCCGCAAATTATTTTCAATTTTACGCAACTCTTTGTCTTAACCTACTCCGGCCGTTCCACATTTCCACTTTTTTAGGCCGTCCAGTTTTACGCCTACGATCCGGCCTTCTAACGGTTGCAGTTAATCGTTTCTGAAGTGACGGAGGGTGCCTGTTGGCTCGAATGGCTGCCCGGATGATTTGTTGCCATCTTCTTTAAACAGAAGCAGAAGAAAAAGCCGGGCCGATTAGATATTGGCTGGCACCGATACACGGTAACGAAGCGGATGTCTTTGAGAACTGAGTGTGTCGCATCGGGACAGCAGCTGATAACGAATTTTTTCTGGAAAACAGGCAGTAGAGTGGAGAGGAGGCTGGGAAACCGGTTATTGGTTTTTCTCTTTTTTGGAAGAAGAAAGTGGAAGGACGCACGCGTGCGGTCAGACGGCTTGTCAGTGCGCGTGAGGTCGGACGGCCTGTTGGTGCGCGTGAGGTCGGATGACTTGTCAGCACCAGACCACCCAAAGATGTGACACTTTTGCCACCCCACTGGTCTTCCAACACATTCCCCAAGTTGATCCGAAATCCGGCTCCAGGCCCGAGCTCAAAAGGCCTTAAAGGCAGTCTTTTTTGGCGCACTCTGCGACACTCAGACTCCGTGCTTGCGGTGTGTTACACTGCAGATTTGCTGTGGAAATCCGAAAGTTCGTCTGGATTTGTGCCCGACAGTCACAGGTCAGGGTGCTGTGCTTCGAAACAGTTATACCTTTGGACATTCGAGAGCTTACTTAAG